ATTACAACTCAACAATAAGAGGACAAATAACCAACTTAAAAATGAACAAAGGACCTGAATAGACAGTTCTCTAAAGGCCAATAAACATGAAAAGATGCTCAACATCATTAACCATCAGGGAAGTGCAAATCAAAACCACAATGAGATACTACTTTGTATTAGAATAGCTCTAATAAAAAAAGACAGATAATAACAAGTATTGGTGAAAATGTGGAGAAACTGGAACCCTCATTTGCTACAAGTGGGAATGTTAAAATGGTGCAGCTGCTTTGTAAAACAGCCTCGCAGTTCCTCTAAAGATTAAACATGGAATTGCCTCATAACCAGCAATTTCACTCCAACGCATACACCCAAGAGAAATGAAAATATGTCTACACAAAAACTTATACAAACATTCATAGCAGTATTCTTAATAGCCAAAAAGTGGACACAACCCAAAGATCCACCAGCTGATAAATGAATACTGAAAACACTATGCTAAGTGAAAGAAGCCAGTCGCAAAGGAACACATACTGCATGGCAGATAAGGGATAGGAGGTTTCTTTCTGGGGCAATGAAAATGTTCTAAAATTGATTCTGGTAATGTATACACAACTTTAAACATACTAAAAACTAATGTATATTTAAATGGGTAAACTGCATGGTTTATGAATTATAGCTCAGTAAGAGCTGCTAAAAACAAACAAAAACCTGAGAACTCTGGTTGTCTACAGGGAAAAGAACTGAGTGGCCACAGATTTTTTTGTGTCTTTTGAGTTTTGAATGCATTACTTATTTACAATTTCATCTTTCATAAACAGACTCCTACTTTTGGTTTTATTTATCTTTTCTACTTATTTTTATTGTATTAATTTTAGTCTTCTCACGTTATTTCCCTTTCCTTTCTACATAATTTCAAGTTGTTGTTTTTCAAGTTGACAAACGTGTTTAACTTTCACTTAAAATTTCATATCTATAAATTTACTCAGAACTTTTAATATACAATAGTTATTAATTTTAGGTAATTATAAATTATTTCATTCATAGTGAGCCAGAGATTATTTGAAAGAATATTCTTTTAATCTCCAAGTGGTTAAGGCTCTTTTGGTTACTTATTGATGCCTGATTTCTAGTTTTACTTTATTATGTTATAAAATGCAGCCAGAAAACCTTTTCATTTGAGAATTTATTACAGTTTTGTTTGAAGACAACTATTAATTTTTACAAAATGTTCCTTGGGCCTAAAGAGAAAAATATGTGATTTCTATTTCTAACATACATAAATGATGTATGTATGTTTGATCTGATTTTTTTTTTTACTTCATCTGTTAAATTCTGAAAGTGATGTACTCAAGTTCTCTAGTATAATAGCTAGATTTCTTGACCCAGTCTGAGAATCTGTCTCATAGAGAAATAACAATTTTGGTAAGTGATGCTTGAAGTTTTGTCTTTCATCATAATTTCATGTTTACTTTTCTTAGTTTCTTTTTACTTTTGATTCCTGTAATGTTTATTTTCCTATTTTAAGCAGATTTTAAAGAAATACTTGATTTACTTTTTCTGTAACTTACAAACTACTGTGGAATCTGTTTGGTTTTTTCCCCCAGTTTAGATATAATTGACATACAGCACTGTGTAAGTTTAAGATATACAGCGTAATGATTTGACATACATCTATTGTGAAATTAAAGCTTATACTTAAAAAAAAAACCAAACCAAAAAAACCCCCCAAAAGACTCCATACACCCACAATCAATTCAAGACATTTAGAATGCTTTTCCTTCTTCAGTAAACTGAAAACAATGCCTGCTCCCAAAGCAAGATCTTTAGAATGAGTTTACTTATCCACTTTCTCTCCCCACCCCATCTCCTGAGTTTGTGGAAACACTTTAGCACTGTTAGATCTATACTATTAGGTTTTCCCTTACAGTGTGTTTAGTTTTAAATAATCATCTTCCCTTGACATCTTTGTTTTGGCTTAATATTTCTTCAAAAGGTTATGGTGGGATATAAATTTCTAAGTTACTTAATGTCTTAAAATGTCTTTTCCTTTCATATCAAGCAGGACAATTTAGACTTCTGTCCTTTCTGTCAATCACCTACAATATTCCAGCTTGCACTTTTGTAGAAAATCAATTTTCTTTCCTTTGTAAATATGCTGTTTAGCTGAGAGCCTAATACCTAAATTCAGAACTTTCACCAGGTTCTGAAAAGGTGAGAGCAGTTTTTTTTTCCTATTAATGCTTCCTGGCACTTTCAATCTACAAAGTCATCTTTAGCTGTTTCTTTCCCCTTCTAAAATGCCTCTTACACATAATAGTTTCCAGCAGTGTCCAAACTTTTGTGGTCTCTACAAAATTTTAAAATATGAAAATCTTTTAAGTTTTAGAAAGTCTCCCTCTTTGTTCATCTCTTAAGAATTCTTATTAATCACTTCATGATGTATTTAAATCAAATCATTATGCTGTATACTTTAAACTTATAGTGCTGTATGTCAATTATATCTCAATAAAACTGGAAGAAAAATTAAATACATTAACTCTAAAAAAAAGACATCTCATTAAAATTCAAACAGAATTCTCTTATGCCTTTCATTAAACTGACTCCATAGATACACTACCTTTTCTTATTCCATTGCACTCTACTTTGAACTACTGTAGACTCCTTAACCTTATTTGTACACATATAGTATACATATAGTGTGTGTATATATATGTATACACACACACACACATTTTAGTGTACTAGTTGTCCCTCCAGTAGTTAGTGAGAGAAGATAAAGAAATTTCTGCATCAGCTTTTGTTTTCAATTCAGAAGTCTGTGAGCAGCATTGAAGTTTTTGTTTCAATGTCCAGCAGTATAAAGTAATGATTAAAAGCATGGGCTCTGGAACCAGGCTGCCTTTCTAGCTGTGTGACCATGGGCAAGTTACTTAACCTCTCTGTGTCTCAGGTACTCCATCTGTAAAATGGATAATAATAATGGTACCTAGGCAGAGAATCTGGCACATAATAGTATTATCTATCTTGGTGCTTATTAAACAATAATTAAAGGCTGGTACAGCAAGGTATAAGGTAAAAATAACAGGTTCAAACACTTGGGAGTGAAACAATGTCACAGAAAATTCCCAAAGACTATAATCCTAATCTCAACTGTAGTGTAACCAGGGTGATCAGGGAGAGTAACGATGGCTTGGCGCTGCCTATTATCACTGTTGATAAGAGCTCAAAGCACA